ATCTTTCATAGTAAATTCTAAGGAAAAGGAAAATAAAATGGTTCCCAAACATTCCAAATCCCGCCTGGGCACGCTCCTGTGCGACCTGCTCTTGCAGGGGGGTTGGGCTGGATGATCCCCAGAGGACCCCACCAACCCTGTGTCGTTCAGTTATTCTGTGACTTTTAAAAAATCATTATTAACTCTTCCAACACCAAGGGAACGCCTTGCCAGCTGGGCATTTTTCATAGTAAATTCTAAGGAAAATAAAATGGTTCCCAAACCCGCCTGGGCACACTCCTGTGCGACCTGGTCTGGCAGGGGGGTTGGGCTGGATGATCCCCAGAGGACCCCACCAACCCTATGTCATTCTGTGATTCTGTGACTTTTTAAAAAATCATCATTAAAATAAAAAAAAAAAAAACCAAAACCTAAAGTCTCTTCTTTCTTATATCAAACTTTGCACTGAACAATTTCTTGAGGAATTTCTTAGAATCATAGAATCATCTAGGTTGGAAGGGGCCTTTAAGATCATTTAGTCCAACCATCAACATGATAAAAAACCAAAAGAAAACCATGCAAAAAAAAAAAACCCATATCACTAACCCATGTCTCTACGCACCATGTCAACCCTCCAAGGATGGTGACTCCACCACTTCCCTGGACAGCCCATCCCAAGGCTTAATAACCCTTTCCATGTAAAAATTCTTCCTAATATCCATCCTGAACCTCCCCTGTCCCAACTTGAGGCCATTCCCATGGAAAGGAATCATCTATAATCAAGAGACGCTTTTCAGTCTTTTTACAGAAAACCATTTCTGTTTCATCTAACCTGAAGTGCTCCCAGCTTCCTCAAAATCAATGTTTCCAAGGTGAAGGACCCCAGCCACTACTCTAAAAAGGTCCAGTTTCTCATCATCATCCAGCCCGATCTTCTTCATGGCCGTGCACATTCTGTTAAAATCTCCGTGGTCATCCAAGAGCGGATCCTTCAAGGAACCTGCTTTGAGATACTGTAAAACAAGAGAAACCAAAAAATTCAGTAAGCGATTTTGTAGTAAATTAGGCAATTATTTCCAGCCAAGGACCCCACCAACCCTATGTCATTCTGTGATTCTGTGACTTTTTAAAAAATCATCATTAAAATAAAAAAAAAAAAAACCAAAACCTAAAGTCTCTTCTTTCTTATATCAAACTTTGCACTGAACAATTTCTTGAGGAATTTCTTAGAATCATAGAATCATCTAGGTTGGAAGGGGCCTTTAAGATCATTTAGTCCAACCATCAACGTGATAAAAAACCAAAAGAAAACTATGCAAAAAAAAAAAACCCCGTATCACTAAACCATGTCTCTACGCACCACATCAACCCGTCTTTTAAATCCTCCAGGGATGGTGACTCCACCACTTCCCTGGCAGCCCATCCCAAGGATTAATAACCCTTTCCATGTAAAAATTTTTCCTAATATCCATCCTGAACCTCCCCTGTCCCAACTTGAGGCCATTCACATGGAAAGGAATCATCTATAATCAAGAGACGCTTTTCAGTATTTTTACAGAAAACCATTTCTGTTTCATCTAACCTGAAGTGCTCCCAGCTTCCTCAAAATCAATGTTTCCCAGGTGAAGGACACCAGCCACTACTCTAAAAAGATCCAGTTTCTCATCATCATCCAGCCCGATCTTCTTCATGGCCGTGCACATTCTGTTAAAATCTCCGTGGTCATCCAAGAGCGGATCCTTCAAGGAACCTGCTTTGAGATACTGTAAAACAAGAGAAACCAAAAAATTCAGTAAGGGATTTTGTAGTAAATTAGGCAATTATTTCCAGCCAAGAATACACTGTAACAAAAAGCATAAAAAAAAGCATGCAAAACCTAAACTAAATAGAAAATCAGAGCTCTTCACACAACACAGGCTTTGCATGAACCCTGGGGTTTTTTTAATATGTTGATACTTGGAAGCATGATGTTCAACCTTCAAAGCAGACGTCAAACTACGTTCAGACAGCAGAGGTTGGGGGGTGGCAGGAAAGGGCAGGGGAATACAGGGTAGGAGAGGTAGAAAGGCAGAGGTAGGCTAAGGAGGGTATGGAAGTGCTTACACCAAGGGGTGCTTCAGCCCCTGGTGGCTGGAAGAACAGGGACAGAAGGATGACAGAAGGTTTCATGGGGAAGGAGAACAGGAGAAACCAGAACCAGAGGAGTTATCCCTGTCGCAGAGTTATTGAGAGAAATACACTGGTGAGGGCTTGCTGCTGATCAAGAAACAGTTTGCAGTGTTCTATGTTTTTAAAATACCAATTTACCTTTTTGCTGATTTTCCTAGGGGTGTTGGTTGACACCTGGCTGAATGTGAGCCAGCAGCGTGCCCAGGTGGCCAAGGTGGCCACCAGCATCCTGGCTTGTGCCAGGAACGGCACAGGTGGCCAGACAGGACTGGGACAGTGACCATCCCCCTGGACTGGGCACTGGGGAAGCCCCACCTCAAGGGCTGTGTCCAGTTTTGGGTCCCTCACCACAAATAAAAGAAATTGAGGGGCTGGAGCGGGTCCAGAGAAGAACAATGGAGCTGGTGAGGGGTCTGGAGACAAAGTCTTGTGAGGAGAGGCTGAGGGAGCTGGGGGTGTTCAGCCTGGAGAAAAGGAGGCTGAGGGGAGACCTTCTCGCTCTCTCCAACTCCCTGAAAGGAGGGTGTAGCCGGGGGGAGTCGGTCTCTTCTCCCAAGGAACAGGTGGTGGGACAAGAGGAAACGGCCTCAAGTTGCTCCAGGGGAGGTTTAGGATGGATATTGGGAAAAATGTTTACACTGAAAGGGCTGTGAAGCCTTGGCAGAGGCTGCCCAGGGCAGTGGTGGAGTCACCATCCCTGGAGGGATTTAAAAGCCGGGCAGATGTGGTGCTGAGGGACATGGGTCAGTGATAATTTTTGTCAGTGTTGGGTTGATGGTTGCACTAGATGATCTAACAGGTCCCTTTCAACCTGGGCAACTCTATGATTCTATAAATACAAAGGCCATTTTAATTACTAACAGTTTTAAATAGTAGACAGTAACACATCTGCATGCAATCAAGAAACTATGTGAACATGCACTGACCAATCTAAGGTTTTACAATTACTTTAAAATGCTTTCAGCTAAAAAGGATAATTATCTTTAAATAGAAGCCTTGTTAATGTCAAATAAGCTAACATCACCTTTATCCAAACAAAACACCACATGCATCTGAAAAATTCACTTCACACAACATTTAGACACATCAAAAAAATTGAACTCCATCTTAATTATGTAAAATGATCACCTCATCTTCCTGATAAGGAAAACATAAAAATAATTTAAGTATTAATTTGACTATTCGAACTACGTCTATTAAAATAAACAATCTTAATATTTTTCATAAAACGACAGAGTAAATATGAAATTTCTGATTAAAAAAGCTTGAACCATGCAATATATTTCCTCCTCTTTGAGTGGTTAGACCAAATTTTAATATCACTCAAATGTTATCTTTTATTGCGCCTGTAAATTGACATGGTTGTAAAATACAGGGATTATGGCATCATGTGTTCTGGTATTTAAAGTCCCAACACATAATTCAGAATTATTCTGAAAGTACAGTTAGTTTAACCACAAACACTTCTTTCAAATTAAGTCCTTTAGAGGACACGAGTTATGACAGAACACCTGCCTGTAAATCACATCAGTAACAGAAGATTGAATTGGTTCATCTCCCAATAGTAAATGTTGATTCTTTTACATAAATTGCCAACTTCACTACAAATCTTAATTTAAGGCAAATTAGGTAAACTGAGACAAAATCTCCTAGCCATCTCTTAACCTATACGCTTGATGAGAATTAAATATCTGCCAGCTTTCTGCCTGACAGTAACATCAAACCAGCACGTCTGTACCTTGCTCTCCCCCACCCCAATTACAGCAAATGGCCTATATTGAAGCAAAATAAATTGGTGTTACGTGCTCAGTGTTCCAACGTGTGGACACTCCAGAGCCAGAAGAAGACTTTAGAAGGGAAATATCTGCACTGTCTTTCACAGCGAGGCACGAGATGAGATACCTACACACTCAAGCCCAAGGTCTCAAAGGGCACAGAGATGGCATGGTCACCGGGGGAGAGAAGCTCTTGAATTAACTTCTCCTTGTATTAATTATTCCCCATGTATATGCAGCCTGCCCTGCTACCGAATCCCAAGTATGGGTTTGATTAAAATTTGCAGTATCTTCCAGCTATACAACTGACCAATTCATCCTTTAGGTATGACTAGATGAGATCTCTACTAGAGAGCAGAGCAGAAGTTTAACGAAGTCTTCCAACAACTTCCAGTTTCACATATACTGTTAATTCAGCTTCAATTCTTTAGTGTCCTCCAAGCTCAAAGGCTTTAAATGCTACAAATTCTGGTAATTCCAGTTTTTTAAAAAAAATCTAAACAGAGATGGAGCAAGAGGAAAGAAATGTTTTGAAGTTTCAGACTTTCTCCCAGGAAATGCCACACTCTGCCATCAGAAATGGTTCAGAGTGAGGGGACAACGACAAACCCACTGAAGAATGCAGTGTCCTGAGGAGGGGGATATGCTCGTTTGGGAAGCCAAGCTGCACTACTGGTTTATAAAACTTAAAAAATCCAGACAGTAAAAATAGCTCTGGAAAAAAACACCGCTTCTGACCTTTCCCTAGCAGGAGTAAGATTTATGTATGAATATATAAACATATATGAATATACCACCTTTGACAGCATAAAGATGTGTAAAATGAACATTTCATTCCACACTGTAATCATCATTATCAACTCTCTCTGCATTGGTTAATAATATAAACTACCTGAAGATAAAAACGTACCTCAGGACTCTTGCGATTCTGCAAAATCTGCTTGTCTGTTTCTTTGTTAGCGAAGTACCTGGTACAGCCCCGATTTAAATACTGCAACAATAAAGAAGTGGAAATGCATACTTAAAGACAGAAGTGAGGAAAACATATGCTTTTATTTAGGGCTTGCTCTACATAGCTTGATTTATTCGTATGATACCAACAACGTGCTAGGTATTCAGAACTCATTCCTTGAAAATGCATTTATTTTCACCTACAAAGTTACAGAAGTGCAACAGCAACAAACTTCTACTGAAACATCTCCATTTTGACAACTAAAATACTTATTGTCACAGTGGGGTATTCACTCTGTCACATCCCACAAGCTTTTCTTAACGTTTGACTCTACCAAATCCATTAACGGAGTCTGGGACTGCAGAAAAGAAAATCAAAAATTCGGAGCCAAGAAGTTGTACAGAATGTTTTTAAAAATTCAACAATAACCTTTATGTTTTCAGCAATAATCTTTACGTTTTCAGCAATACACAGGCTTTATATAGTATAACCAGGGGTGAGGAAGGTGGGATCAAAGAACGTGTAGTTCTATGTCCAGTGTAGCTTTATGGTAATTTTTTCCCTCCCCAGTGATATATTTCTACAGGTAGTAAGAGACACAGCATAATTACGCTTGAAGAGTATTAAAAGCTTTAACATGGTACAAGCAGAAGGTGAATTCAGAATCTGGCTCCTTGTATCCATCTCACATTGTACAGTTGGGGGAACAGACGGAGTATTAATGCAATGACTGACACTCCCAGCAAAATGGGATTGCTGGTTTTTCCCTTCGGAGCTGTTCAGCCCAAAAAACCTCGTCCAAAAGCTTGGACAGAGCCCTTTGTCTAAGGGAAATGAACTGATTCTTTGCTCCGGCCCCTGAACAAAGAAGATGTTTTCAACTAGGTGAACACAGATAATTCTCCACTCTGATTACAATTTATATAGAGAAGTCTAAAAAAAAAAAAAATATTCTTCAAAGCATTTCTAACAGCAGAAGAAAACCAGGGGACGAACTTAATTGTAAATCAAAGCAACAAGAAACATTGTCCAAAGTTAGCTTGGTGTTTAAAAAAATATTGAAAAGTTTTCTTTATGCAAAGCATGGCCTAGTTTAAACACAACAATATATCCCTGTATTACAGTAGTAGTGACAAGGGTAACTTCACCCTGCTAGTAATATTGGTGATGACAGTGTAAGATGTGAACAGGCTTAGAAGGACCTTGAGAGGGATGGCAAAAGCTTGCTTGGAAGAGAAAGAAGGGACAATCAGGAAAAGACTGAGAAACAGCCAGATTGGTAAAGCTGCACTGGTTGGGTAAGAGCTCAATAATACTCTTTTCTCAAGGAAAAAAAAAATTACTGCAATAATCAAGACTGAACACACTGAGAAATTAAAAGAGAATTTAAAAATCAGGGAAATGGAGTTGGAGTCACTCAGGCAAACAGAAAACAAAAAAAGAGGGAAAATTCTGACTGACGAGAAAGGAAAGCAACAGGAAGCATCATGTTATTTGTGTTATTTACCAACCACGTGTGAAACAATTCAGGGAACACAGAGAAGGGAAGGAGAAAGAAGGAAAGCTGAAGAAAAAAAGTTTAAAGTTAAACTAAGTGGTAAAACCATTCAGTGGAAAAAAGGGTGGAAAAGAGTGCCAGAACATAATGGTAGGACAGAAAGCCAGCCTGTTTGTGGGATTGCTACCAGAAACATAACACAGAATCAGGGTCAATCAGGAGAAACCACATAGTCTCAGAAAAGGGGCAAAAAACCTAAAAATGGCAATCTGAGAAGGTTTACAGACAGTGACTCTGATACTCACCCTGAAGTTGTCAGGAGAGCTTAGATAGAGCTTTTCCCTAATGTCTTCTGGAGCACCAGCACAAAGCCTGTAAAAGATATGGTAATTCCTCTCTTCTTTGCCTTGCACACAGATCCTAGATTTCTCCAGAAGGTAATGTGACACAAATCCACCAACCACCGAGTTCTAGGAGGAAGAAAGATTTTTCTGATTATCTGAATATTTTTTAGATTATTTGAGATTCAGAAGTTTTCAATTTATAGTTGTCTGATCATGGCTTGCTCAACAGACACTGCTCCAAAGAATATTAAAGTGTATCTATACCTAACACATATTAAGCTTAGACTTCTAGCCTAGCATTTACATTTTATGACAAAAAAAATCATAACATGTAACAAAATTCCAATACCTTTTCATTGAAGTGAATTTCAACAAATTTCCCAAAACGACTGCTGTTGTTGTTGCGAACAGTCTTTGCATTTCCAAAGGCTTCTAACAGGGGATTTGCTGTTTAAAAAATTAAAATTGAAATTTTTAAAGTGGTAAAATTTGATCAGTAAACTACCAAAAAGATAGAAGAAATGGGTAGTAATTACTCAGTGAACTTATTTGGAATGAGGAAAAATATTACCTATTAGGAATAATCAATTTTGCAAACCGTACAAGATATATTTTGGTGGAACTTACAATGAAGTACTGAAACACCAGATAACACTGCAAATCATTTGAATCAACACTTTAAGAAATTCAGAGACAGGCACTGAAAAATTATTCAGTCCTGTTCTTCTACAGCAGGTACATAAATCACTGATACATAAACTATGCGAGACAACATAGAATTTGACAGTTTCCAATGAGTTGTTATTCATAAAATCCAAACTACCCATTTATGCCACAAACAAAAGTGCCACTTAAATGTCACGCTTGCAACATGTTAGATTGATTAGGGAATAAAAAAACGTATTAGAAGAGTGTGTTGATTTCAAAACCAATTTTAAAATGCCCTTTCAAATTAGGTCAGTTAAGTGACAGTGATTTTGGGTTTTACTGCCTGCAGTTTTGAAGTGCCTTAAAGCCCACACAGAAAGTGGCAGCAATCTAAAGCATATATACATATATATATATACACACACACACATCATGCACAGTTGAAGCAGTTTGAGAATGTTTAGTAGTTATGAAACACCAGGCCTCTGAAAGACTGCATTTACTAGCTCTGAAGATGAAAGAAAACCGATTTACTGAACTGCGCTAACAATAAACCATTGACACGATCTGCAAGATTTTTTTTAAAGCTTTTAGCTAAAAAAAAAAAATGCCCTGGAAACTAAGTGAACAGAAACTCAGATTTATTACTCCAGTGACAAATCTGCTTCTACAAAAATTAAAAAATGAAGAATTAACTACAGTTGTTGGATAAATTATGGATGATAATGCATCACGTATTAGGACAACATCAGCTCACAGGCTTTATATAGTATAACCAGGGGTGAGGAAGGTGGGATCAAAGAACGTGTAGTTCTATGTCCAGTGTAGCTTTATGGTAATTTTTTCCCTCCCCAGTGATATATTTCTACAGGTAGTAAGAGACACAGCATAATTACGCTTGAAGAGTATTAAAAGCTTTAACATGGTACAAGCAGAAGGTGAATTCAGAATCTGGCTCCTTGTATCCATCTCACATTGTACAGTTGGGGGAACAGACGGAGTATTAATGCAATGACTGACACTCCCAGCAAAATGGGATTGCTGGTTTTTCCCTTCGGAGCTGTTCAGCCCAAAGTAAGAACCTCGTCCAAAAGCTTGGACAGAGCCCTTTGTCTAAGGGAAGTGAACTGATTCTTTGCTCCAGCCCCTGAACAAAGAAGATGTTTTCAACTAGGTGAACATAGATAATTCTCCACTCTGATTACAATTTATATAGAGAAGTCTAAAAAAAAAAAAAATATTCTTCAAAGCATTTCTAACAGCAGAAGAAAACCAGGGGACAAACTTAATTGTAAATCAAAGCAACAAGAAACATTGTCCAAAGTTAGCTTGGTGTTTAAAAAAATATTGAAAAGTTTTCTTTATGCAAAGCATGGCCTAGTTTAAACACAACAATATATCCCTGTATTACAGTAGTAGTGACAAGGGTAACTTCACCCTGCTAGTAATATTGGTGATGACAGTGTAAGATGTGAACAGGCTTAGAAGGACCTTGAGAGGGATGGCAAAAGCTTGCTTGGAAGAGAAAGAAGGGACAATCAGGAAAAGACTGAGAAACAGCCAGATTGGTAAAGCTGCACTGGTTGGGTAAGAGCTCAATAATACTCTTTTCTCAAGGAAAAAAAAAATTACTGCAATAATCAAGACTGAACACACTGAGAAATTAAAAGAGAATTTAAAAATCAGGGAAATGGAGTTGGAGTCACTCAGGCAAACAGAAAACAAAAAAAGAGGGAAAATTCTGACTGACGAGAAAGGAAAGCAACAGGAAGCATCGTGTTATTTGTGTTATTTACCAACCACGTGTGAAACAATTCAGGGAACACAGAGAAGGGAAGGAGAAAGAAGGAAAGCTGAAGAAAAAAAGTTTAAAGTTAAACTAAGTGGTAAAACCATTCAGTGGAAAAAAGGGTGGAAAAGAGTGCCAGAACATAATGGTAGGACAGAAAGCCAGCCTGTTTGTGGGATTGCTACCAGAAACATAACACAGAATCAGGGTCAATCAGGAGAAACCACATAGTCTCAGAAAAGGGGCAAAAAACCTAAAAATGGCAATCTGAGAAGGTTTACAGACAGTGACTCTGATACTCACCCTGAAGTTGTCAGGAGAGCTTAGATAGAGCTTTTCCCTAATGTCTTCTGGAGCACCAGCACAAAGCCTGTAAAAGATATGGTAATTCCTCTCTTCTTTGCCTTGCACACAGATCCTAGATTTCTCCAGAAGGTAATGTGACACAAATCCACCAACCACCGAGTTCTAGGAGGAAGAAAGATTTTTCTGATTATCTGAATATTTTTTAGATTATTTGAGATTCAGAAGTTTTCAATTTATAGTTGTCTGATCATGGCTTGCTCAACAGACACTGCTCCAAAGAATATTAAAGTGTATCTATACCTAACACATATTAAGCTTAGACTTCTAGCCTAGCATTTACATTTTATGACAAAAAAAATCATAACATGTAACAAAATTCCAATACCTTTTCATTGAAGTGAATTTCAACAAATTTCCCAAAACGACTGCTGTTGTTGTTGCGAACAGTCTTTGCATTTCCAAAGGCTTCTAACAGGGGATTTGCTGTTTAAAAAATTAAAATTGAAATTTTTAAAGTGGTAAAATTTGATCAGTAAACTACCAAAAAGATAGAAGAAATGGGTAGTAATTACTCAGTGAACTTATTTGGAATGAGGAAAAATATTACCTATTAGGAATAATCAATTTTGCAAACCGTACAAGATATATTTTGGTGGAACTTACAATGAAGTACTGAAACACCAGATAACACTGCAAATCATTTGAATCAACACTTTAAGAAATTCAGAGACAGGCACTGAAAAATTATTCAGTCCTGTTCTTCTACAGCAGGTACATAAATCACTGATACATAAACTATGCGAGACAACATAGAATTTGACAGTTTCCAATGAGTTGTTATTCATAAAATCCAAACTACCCATTTATGCCACAAACAAAAGTGCCACTTAAATGTCACGCTTGCAACATGTTAGATTGATTAGGGAATAAAAAAACGTATTAGAAGAGTGTGTTGATTTCAAAACCAATTTTAAAATGCCCTTTCAAATTAGGTCAGTTAAGTGACAGTGATTTTGGGTTTTACTGCCTGCAGTTTTGAAGTGCCTTAAAGCCCACACAGAAAGTGGCAGCAATCTAAAGCATATATATATATATATATACACACACACATCATGCACAGTTGAAGCAGTTTGAGAATGTTTAGTAGTTATGAAACACCAGGCCTCTGAAAGACTGCATTTACTAGCTCTGAAGATGAAAGAAAACCGATTTACTGAACTGCGCTAACAATAAACCATTGACACGATCTGCAAGATTTTTTTTAAAGCTTTTAGCTAAAAAAAAAAAATGCCCTGGAAACTAAGTGAACAGAAACTCAGATTTATTACTCCAGTGACAAATCTGCTTCTACAAAAATTAAAAAATGAAGAATTAACTACAGTTGTTGGATAAATTATGGATGATAATGCATCACGTATTAGGACAACATCAGCTTTAATCTTTTTGTTTTGGCTAGGTTTTCATTTTTTAATACTTAAAGCTTATGAAATTGCAACTCTGACTTTCAAAACTGACTTCTTAAGAGATCTTTGATAGCTATTCAGGTATTTTACATGATATTAACAGTTCTGAAGGAAAGGTTATGAGTACAAACAAATGGCAAGAGGTCTTTCAGAAAGGTTAAATGTTCCTCGAGAAATACAAGTGCTGTAAGGGTGCTCATTAAAGTTGTGCCTAAAAAACTGCAAAAATCATGCATCAGATGCCGGGTTAGTTAAAAACCCCAAAGTTTTCTAATACCTACAAGCACCAACTGATTTTAAGGCATACTGCTTCAGGCATTATAAAGCTCTTGGCTGTGTCCCGAGTTCCTGTAGCACACAGTGGATTTCCCTAAGGAACTGGTTTAAACAAACCTACAGCAACGGGAGATTAAAGCCTGCAGGAGTTCTCTCAGGCAATCTGGTGGCTTGAATTTGAAAACAGAAAATTTAAAGCAAAAGGAAAAGTAAGCATTTTTGGTTTAAGAGACAGAGAGTCATGAAATTTCGAAATAAATTTAATATAAGCTGGAGAAGACTAAAACTGATGTGAGGCATTGCGAGATTGGCTGAGGCTTCTTTGGTTTTGAGATATTTATGTTTTCTCAGAAAGTTATTTTCTGTTCTACTAGGGAGCACACACAACATTGAAGAGGCTCAACTGGGTGAGCAACAGTTTCTCCTGACCCCGTTTGGAAGCCTGTCATAAAGACAGCCACACTGGAAGTGTTAATCCTAATTATGTGCTTTCACATAAAAAAAAAGACAGACAGAAAAATGACCCAGAAGAATAATTTAAAAGAACTTCCCTGCTTTATCTGACTTTGAGAACTTTATGGTGAGGAGGAGGAGGAGGAATTACTCTTTCCTGGTACTAAAGAGTAGTAAAGAGAAGACCATCTTGCCCTTGCAGATTTCATACAGTGTGAAACCCAATCTCTGCTACACGTGTGTGTGAAGCTCCACTCAAACATACACATAAAGGTTTTCTAGATCAAGGACTACATGGCCCTATACTGGATAAAAATAAAGTGAATCACACATAAAAAACATGTTTTCAGAATTTAGAATCAAAGTAAACTACTAATAAATGATGCGCTGGGAAGTCTGACAGTATTTCCAGCCCAGCTTTTTTGTAGTTACTGCTGACTGACATTTCAAATTTCACCAAAAAACAAACAAAAAACCCCCCAGACCCATCAAATCATTGGAACCTTTAATTCAATTAAAAAAAAATCAATACCTTCTACAATTCTATCATCAATGTCTTGGCCAGAACCATAGGATTCTGTCAAATACCTGTAAAGCAAGATAAAAATATCAGTATATTTCATGGGTCAGGTTACCTCAATTCAACAGCATTTAGCATGTCTGGGGACCACACTTACTAACCATTTACTGCAGGGAAAGCAGATTGATTACAATACCTGTGTCTTTTAAAATAGATGCAGTTTTCTGCATGACTTTTCTATTAAAACAAAAATATTCTTGCAGACTTCCAATTTTTTTAAATACTTCTAGTCATGCATATGCAAACCGCACTTTTGTACAAATATAATGAAACTTTACTCTACTACCTGTATTTCTAATATCTGAGTAAACACATAAGTTGTCATACGTATTTTATTTGAATTAAGGACTGTTTCCATGCACATAGCTTCTGTGTTCAGAACTATCAGCTATCACTAAAAATCCCACCTGGAGATGGTGAGGTAGGTAATTGCAGGTGCATAATCAAGGTAAGATTCAATTTAGCAACGGAAGAAAGAATTTGAAAATAAATCCACAATGTACTTGCTCCAAAGTTGCAGCTTTCACAAACAAAAAACCCCCCAGACCCATCAAATCATTGGAACCTTTAATTCAATTAAAAAAAATTCAATACCTTCTACAATTCTATCATCAATGTCTTGGCCAGAACCATAGGATTCTGTCAAATACCTGTAAAGCAAGATAAAAATATCAGTATATTTCATGGGTCAGGTTACCTCAATTCAACAGCATTTAGCATGTCTGGGGACCACACTTACTAACCATTTACTGCAGGGAAAGCAGATTGATTACAATACCTGTGTCTTTTAAAATAGATGCAGTTTTCTGCATGACTTTTCTATTAAAACAAAAATATTCTTGCAGACTTCCAATTTTTTTCAATACTTCTAGTCACACCTTTGGAAATCACACTTTTGTACAAATATAATGAAACTATTACTCTACTATCTGTATTTTCTAATAATCTGAGTAAACACATAAGTTGTCATACATATTTTACTGAATTAAGGACTGTTTCCATGCACATAGCTTCTGTGTTCAGAACTATCAGCTATCACTAAAAATCCCACCTGGAGATGGTGAGGTAGGTAATTGCAGGTGCATAATCAAGGTAAGATTCAATTTAGCAACGGAAGAAAGAATTTGAAAATAAATCCACAATGTACTTGCTCCAAAGTTGCAGCTTTCTTTTTTTCTTGCCTCTTGTTTTCCCCTGTGCACAGGGCACACTCTCTGGAAATTCCCAAGTAAATCTGGGTCAAGTTAAAAACAGTTCTCAAAAATGAGGCCTTCCAAAAAAAGGGATTTAGGAGCACTAACTGTGCTGCATTGGTATTTTTTTCTTTCTGATCACACAAGGGGAAAAACCTTCCTGCTTTTAAAACTCAGGGATGTTTTGTAGGGAATTAAAGATTTATACCGAGGAAGGAGGACAAGATGGGGAAGGGAGTGTATTCACACTGCCTATGCTGTGTTTCCTGGGATGATGCAGGTGAATTTAATGGAGTATTCCAGAATGATATCAAACAGTTAAAGTATAAAGCAAATATGGCCAAAACCATTAAAATCATGCAAGGCTGATATGTATTAGTTATACAGCCGCCATGTAGTTTAATATACATAATTTAGTGTCGGTCATACATGAACATCAATACATCCATAAATCTCATTATTCAATCTTATCCAGTAAATTAGGTGAAAGTATAATTCAGAGTCTCTGCAGCGATCTCAAAATCAAGAGTCAAGAACCCTGGATGCTTAAGCAAACTAAAGAAACAAAGCCAGGGAAAACACAGAAATGCACATTTAAGGCAAAATCAACAGTGTCTTGTGAGATGCAGTTAAAGTGCCCAAGTTATGGGGCATTTTATCTGCTGTGACACCAAAATGACTACACCATAACCCATAACTACTACATGATGTCACTGCAACAGAGTTTTATGTGAATATGTAGCCATTTCTGTATGGTATCATGGGAGCAAATAAGTTTAACCCTATGAATTTCTTGTCTTAAAGTGTAGAGACTGAACTGGCTTCAACCTGCTGTCTGTTTGTCAACCAAACGCACCCACACAGGAAATTCAATTCAGAACTTTTTTGGACCAAAAAGCACAAACCTCAAAACAAATTTAGTGTTTTCTGTCTTGCCAGCTCCTGATTCTCCAGAGACGATGATGGCATGGCCAAAACCATTAAAATCACGTAAGAGGATGCAAGGCTGATATGTATTAGTTACACGGCCACCATGTAGTTTAATATACATGATTTAGTGTCGGTCATACATGAACATCAATACATAAATAAATCTCATTATTCAATCTTATCCAGTAAATTAGGTGAAAGTATAATTCAGAGTCTCTGCAGCGATCTCAAAATCAAGAGTCAAGAACCCTGGATGCTTAAGCAAACTAAAGAAACAAATCCAGGGAAAACACAGAAATGCACATTTACGGCAAAATCAACAGTGTCTTGTGAGATGCAGTTAAAATGCCCTAGTTATGGGGCATTTTATCAACTGTGACACCATAATGACTACACCATAACCCATAACTACTACATGATGTCACTGCAACAGAGTTTTATGTGAATATGTAGCCATTTCTGTATGGTATCATGGGAGCAAATAAGTTTAACCCTATGAATTTCTTGTCTTAAAGTGTAGAGACTGAACTGGCTTCAACCTGCTGTCTGTTTGTCAACCAAACGCACCCACACAGGAAATTCAATTCAGAACTTTTTTGGACCAAAAAGCACAAACCTCAAAACAAATTTAGTGTTTTCTGTCTTGCCAGCTCCTGATTCTCCAGAGACGATGATGGACTGACTCATTTTGAGCACTTTCATGTCACGGAATGCTTTGTCAGCTTCAAAAGAAGAATACGTTAAATGTGACAAAAATTCATATTCAGGAGTGTTGCAGGCATAAAATGAAGCTACCAAACAAAAATTAAGATGTAACATTTTCAGGAATTAAAAAGTAAATCTTTAAAATTGAGTGCATCACAACTTATTAAAGCGTTTCCCTTTCAATTCTATTATAGTCACTCACCCTCAAACACTGAAGTTTAAGAGCTTAAAGTTTTTTGAAAACAAAGACCTACTCAACTATATCCAGGACAAAATAAAACAAACCCCACCACCTAGAACTGAACATCATAATTAAATGTATTTACAAAATTGTAACCCATCTTACTTTAATGGAGAAAAAGTTCTTGTAAAAAAAGTTTCCTTTAAAGGAAAACTTCCAGTTGCACTTTGTAACAAGTAACGTCCCAGACAAGGACACCTGGAAATACCTGGGTAGTTTTCTCTTTATGCAACACACACTAAATACCCAGCTTTTCAGACTTGTGATTACAAACCAAAATGCAACACGGTGAGAAGGCTCTGAACAAGTCAAATGTTGATTTGTAGTTTCCAAATTATTTTTTTTCTTGCACAGGGGGAACTAAAATCAGGTTCATCCTGCTAATGACATTTAAATGCCCTTTCTGCCTATGGCACAAGCAGGTAAAAAGAAGCAGTGCTGTGTGCTCTGGCAACACAATGAAAGGTGAAGGAAATCACTACCTGAGAGACACTGCCAGTCATCATCATGTCATTCTTCACTTCTAAAATCTGCATTTCTTTTATTTTTAACGATTGTAAATGATATTTAAACTGCTTAGACATAAACCACTGGAGGTACAGAATAACAACAGCAGGGTTGCTAATTTACACGCTTCTCAAACTCCGTATCAAGGATGAGAAGATTTGCAAATTTAGCAGTCGGTGCTTTTATATTATAACAGTTTAAGGTAAATTAATTATTGTTACAGGTGGCAATGTATGGGATAACTGAAAAGCATTTCATGTTTGTTTTATAATAGACAAATACACAATACATACCAATAGCAAAGACATGTGGTGGCAATGTTCCAAGTGATCTCCCCTGGTACTTTTTAATAGTGTCTGAAGAATAAAACTTAGGTATATCAAAATATGGATTCACTGCAATAAGAATGTTGGCTACATAGGTCTGTGAAGAGAACAATTAACAGCAAGCTATTAGGGAGTATCCAACCAAACGGTTAACAGAAGTTCTCTATTATTATTATTATTGAAGACTATAGCCTAAGTATTAGGCTAAACAATTACATTAACAATTCTCTGCAGATACAAAAAGGGATATATTTTCAGGGTTCCTCTAATTATCTTCTCTGGACCTCTCTGAAAAAGCACTTCTCGGGAGAATTTCCTCACCACTGAGCTGTGGAGCACGTCCTGAATTTGACCTTTCTCCCAATCTCCTTTTAAATGATTTCCTATTGTCCGAGTGACTGGATCAAGGATAAGACACCGCAACCTCCTCCTCCTCAAAAGCCAATAAACTCAGGTTCTGGCTCTGGCGAGGCACTCTCCTCCGGCGAGGAGGATAATTTTTCAATATCTAATGGAAGCAACTCAGCAGGAAGGACTGACAGGATCCTGCCTGGGAACACACTCAAGTTGGGCAGTAAAAGCATCCAGCCGAGAGAAACAGCTACGGCCGCTTCCTGGGCGAGAAACACAGAATGCAAATGTCCTCTCACAGGGAGGGAATCTGAGAAGAATCTCAAACCAAGACTGTTTTTTAGTTTTCCATAGGATAAGGGAGACTGAAGATAGCAAATAAGTTTGTTTTTTTAAGGCTTCTGGAAAAAAAATAAAAATAAAAATCATAGCTCAGTTATAACGGCCAGAGTCCGTGTGAGGAAGAAAAGACATCTGAATGACAGAACAAAAAAAAAAGTAGATTTGCAGGGAAAGATCTGACGAAAATAAGATAAACCTTCAGCTTGAACAATTTATCTGGTTTGTTGTTACTGAGTATATCCCTAGAGAACTGAAATTTGGGCACTATCATGGTATGCTGATGCAAGGCTGGAGCGCACAGAATAAGTGAATTTTCTGAAATGCTTCTACTTTCAGCATTTATTTCACTGAAGGAAAACATTTCTTCAAGAGCTGCAAGTACTAATACTAGTTTTCCTTTCAGTAACATGACAAATACTGTTAACTAGCATTAAACAAAAAAAATATAAATTGTTGATTCAAACTGTATCTTAACATTAGAAGGGAAAGGTAGTTAAAATATAAATTGAACTTTTTTTTTTTCTCCAGAAAATACATCCGCTCAGGACAATGTATCAGCAGCATTTGTTTACAATGAAGAAAGGCTTTATGAACCTAAATATTCTCCTGCCTTATAACCAGTGCACTTTTAGGATTTTACTTCCTGGGGCATTTTTGTTTGTTTGGTTGGTTTTTTTCTAATTATTATTTTTCCAGAACAGTGTTCAAATGGTTATTTTTTATTTATTTATTTTAAAGCTGATGCTTGATCTTGAGCCATAAAGAATTTATAGCTCTGCAAGGTTAACTGCAACAAGGGAAAACAACTACACTTTCGTTTGATATTTATATGCAATGGTTTAACTCCAAATCATTTTAGAACAGTATGCTAACACAAAAGTGGATTATTGTAACACATACACTTAGAAACTATGTAGAACTGTTTTGTATCATCACTAGCCAGCTTTCTGTTAGAAGAAAAAAAATGAGAAAGAAAGAAAACTCTTATCTTTCTTCTATTTCACAGCTGTCAGTGTCCGGGCAGATGGCAAGGACAAAATGTAATTTAGTCAGAATTCATTAAGTACAATTAGGCAATTTGATAGCAATATAAAAGATTAAGACGGACATCTGAGCTAGGAGGTGTCAAAGGCGGCACCTGTTTGCTTCGTTCAAAAATAATGAAGAAAGAGAACCATCTTTGTTAACAGCTACCGGGCCGGGGACGTCAGGCACCTGTAGGAACAGAGCCCCGTGACACGACGCCGAGCTACGGTTGCACATGGACATGTCATGGAGACAAAAATCTACTGCTCTGCCTGCCAAAAATTAGCTAAAATTAGTGATTCATGTTATTCGGATCTCAAACAGGGTATAACATCAAAAAAAAAAAAAAAGGCCTAAGAAAAGGCCTAACAGAAAGGCCTACTTTCTGTTACAGGAGAAAAAACACAATTGTAAACACTTGTTTTGTTGCTTTTTGGAAAGGACATTATCAGAGTGGCCATCCTGGCACGTAATACTTACGTAAATTCTGTCCTTACTGTACCGAACTTTGATATTGTGAAGGAGAGTGGCTTCATTTAGATACATGAGGGAACCTGCAAGTAAAAGACAATCAATCACACACCATCAGGGGCTCAGGACAAGCTTCACGTACGGCCAAACCACCACAGTTTAGAATTACTGACTATTTTACTTCCGCTCCCTTTGCTTATATTTTAGTCCTTTTTTTTTTTTTTTTTTTTTTGTACCGTCTTGAGGCAGAACTGCTGATTCAATATATGTTTTAAAAACCCTAGACCTTCTCTTTACTGTACAGAGACGCGGAGCGATCCCACATAGGGAACCAGACTACAGGAGGCTCAGCTCAGGCCCTGCTCAGTGTAAGATCCCATTTTACCCGCTTTTCACACCAAAACAGTGCCTCTCCCTGCACATCGCCCCATAAGCGCAGAAATCGGTGCCTCCCCAAAACCCTAACTTCTCCTTTTCCTGCCTTCCAGCTCGCCTCTCCAGTCTCCACCACAGGGCACCACCATCTAACGGGCCTGTAGAATCACTGCTGTCTCCTGGTGAAGTTTAGATGTTTATGTTCATGGATTCCTTTGGGCCGTGCTGTCCTGCAGGCACCGATGCAGCACCAGGCACCAACCAGACTTTTTGTGCTTCAATTCTGAATTTTGCTGCTACTGGGGCCTCCTCAGAGAAACTGGGAGGGAGAGGGAAAAAAAAAAAAAATGCTAACAAAAAGACCTCTACCCATTTTTCAAATCTCTCCAGGGATGGTGACTCCACCACTGCCCTCGGCAGCCCATTCCAAGGCTTCACAACCCTTTCCCTGTAAACATTTTTCCCAATATCCATCCTAAACCTCCCCTGGTGCAACTTGAGGCTGTTTCCTCTTGTCCCATGGCCTGTTCCTTGGGAGCAGAGACCGACCCCCCCTGGCTACACCCTCCTTTCAGGGAGTTGGAGAGAGCGAGAAGGTCTCTCCTCAGCCTCCTTTTCTCCAGGCTGAACACCCCCAGCTCCCTCAGCCTCTCCTCACAAGACTTGTGCTCCAGACCCCTCACCAGCTCCATTGCCCTTCTCTGGACCCGCTCCAGCCCCTCAATATCTTTTTTTTTGTGGGGGCCCAAAACTGGACACAGCCCTTGAGATGGGCCCTCAACCGTGCCCAGTCCAGGGGGATGGTCACTGCCCTGGTCCTGTCTGGCCACACTGTTCCTGGCACAAGCCAGGATGCTGGTGGCCACCTTGGCCACCTGGGCATGCTGTTGGCACACTCAAGTCCACGCAGCTGAGAACATGGCGCTGGGACCACCCATTGCAGCTCTGTCTCCATAGACCTCTCTCCAACTTCACCTTTGTTAACAAGGCCACCCCAAGAGAAAGAGACGTTACAAGGAGACGGGTCAGAAAGTCCTAAATGAAAGTTAAAATCTCCTTCTCCCCTTGAGGGGAGGGTGTTAAAAAAAAAAAAAAAATCAGTGAACTTCAAAAGTGAAGTCATTTGGATGCTCAGTTTTGAGCTGAGGAACTACCTTATAGTCATTTTCTATGTACACTTAAGGAAAGAACCCTCTCCCTTGACCGTGTCTTCATAAGCACCTCACAGGGTTTGCAGCATGTTTGAAAGGAAGCAGTCAGCAGTTAAGCATCCTCATAAAAACTTGATAATTATCTGAACAACAAAGGCCCCCGGACCTTGGTGGGTGCCAGGACTCTCCTGCTGAAGCAGTTCTACCTGCAGACTGGGTGCCTGATGGGGCTCCCTCCCCCAGGGGATGGTGCTGCCTTTGCTCAAGACATGCAAACGAAGGCTTATGTCAGCAACTTCTAATGCATCTTCCTCAGAATAAATCCTTTAAAGAGGCATCCGTATCCAGAGGGGAAGGAAGTCACCGGAGAGAGAACTCTGAATATTCATACGGCTCACACCTAAATATAACCAGTGTATGTATGTGCATTTAATCGTCCATATATTTACTTACACTCATAGGAACAGTTCACAGGAGTGAAGTCAGGCACTAAAAGCTGGGAAATATCAACCTCAAATTTACTCCCTTTACTGCTGTGCACACAATGAGGCAGGGTTTATATGGAAAATAATTTTATCAAGTAACTGCAAGGCTCTGCATCTGCAGAATTATTTTTTTTCCTTTAATATTCTTACCTGGTAACCTGCCCCCCTTCTTTTTTTAAATTGTTTCACCTCAGAAATAAATTTTAAAAATTAAACCTTTTTTCTGGGCCATACAAAATAAAAATGCTATTTTTGTTTTTTTTCTGCATATGGTAACAACCCACCAAAACTGAGTGAGGTGTGGGGGGAGCAGGAGAGGAGTGTGAATTACAAAAAAAAAAAGTAGCAAATGCTTTGTCTCTGTGCTGTTTGCAATATTTACTGGAAAAAAATCACAAAAAGGGTGTCTCTTGCAGCTCATGCATTGGGGACATGGAAAGCTAAGGGTACAAAAAAGCAACACTTCAGCAAATCACTTCCTAGAAGGGAGTTAATCACTACAGCAGGGGTTGGAACAGCGAGTGTATTATTAACCAGTCTTGCAGGATTTTTCAGAACAGTATTATAAAGAGAGACTGAAAGCACTCAGTATTTTATTTTAAGTTTTTTCTTAAAAATTAATGCTGCTCAGCACAAATCCACTCTGGCAGAGAAGGAAAATGAACTTGGGTTTCACACAGCTTGGAGATAAACCTCAACTAGTGAAGAAAAAGGGGAAATACGTTAGAAAAGTCTCAAAGTAATGTTTGATATAGAAAGGATTACTGGAAAAAGCATTTTTAAGTTTTATGTTTTACTCAGTAACCCAAAGAAAACATTTTCTGTGATGGGAAGACTGTTTTAACTTAAATTGAATAGCTTTTTGCTGGAATCTCAGAATATTTCCATGATTTTATATCCATAATTTCAATGACCTACTAGGACACTGCAGTGCCAGGACGTCTCAGTAAAACCACCGTGAGCGATGCACAAATTAAATCACATCCCAGCAATCACCACGTGCAAGGAATACAGACACCAGCTTCGAAAAGTTTCAACCTGCCCAATGTTTGCCAAAATATAAGCCCCTGGAAACAAGGCGACCAGCTTGGTTCCACCTGCAGGGACACTGCACCACCTCATGCAGATCATCAGCTTCAGATCATCTTGCTCCTCACGGAGCAGCTCTAACTGCTGTATTTCCTGCCACGGGATACAAATCCTTACTGCTATTCCAAAACAGGAATTATGTTTAAATCACCTAAATAACCTTCAAAGTCCTAGCTCTAGTTTAAATGAGGAACAATAAAAGGTATTCTTGCCCACCACAGATAAAGTTATTGGTATTTTCACCAACCAATAGGCATCATAGATGATTAAAAGCTGATGCTAGGGCTTACTCATCCTTCTTGGTGCTCTCCCCCCAGATTTGAATGCCCTATTTGTTTCCACACATCTAACTAGAAAATATTTAACAATGTAAAAGCCCTGCGGGTCACCACCAAAGTTTATTACTCAAGTTCACCTCCGAACTCCTTCCCCAGCAGCTCTCCTGTACCCTGTTCGTTATGACCTAGTTCCTTTTCCAGTGGCCCTGACGGCTCCAGTTTTCAGTTGGAAACTAAACTACACAATAAATTATGGTTAAAATGGGCTTACTTTAAGAAGTGTAAAGGACCAGAGGTCATACATAAATTTAAGCAAATAAGCAAAACAAAGACTACAAGGAAGAAACAGGAAGCTTGTAAGGAAATCATATTCTCTTCTATACAGATTATTTTTTTTTCAAATGCATTGTTTATTTTTAAATTCTTAACTTACAATTATCTTCTACATCCTTTTTGCTGTCCTCTTCCGCAGGAAACACTTGATTGATAGCAGCCTGGAAAGTCTGTTAGATGAAAAATTATATTAACATTGTCAGAGTTCTGTAAAAATAGAAATGTAGTCCATAGATGTCTGATGGGATGATTCGGGTGAATGCACTGTAATTGTGTGAGATTTAAAAGGAAAGTGCCAGCTTTATACTTCAGCACTGGAGATTTTGCTGAGTTACTGGGTGCAAGCAGGAGCTGCTGCACGTAGGTTACTACACTACATTATAGAAATGCAGTCACTGTAATACATATTTTTATTGCAATGATATTTGACGTTTATTTCCAAAACTGCACGTAATATTGTAATATAAAAAATAACCATAAAAAAAAAAAGTATTGCAAAGGCAACAGCACTGTAAAGGACACACAACTTCCTCAGTTTTGCAAAGAAGCACAAAGAATAAAAACCAAATGATTAGTTCAGTCGAAGGACTGTGCTGCCACTATCATATGCTGGTTTTAAACAGGAATGTTTAAAGTGTTCAATACATAATACCCTCTGTATCCCCAAATACTGTAGCTTTGGTTCTTGCTTGTTGGGTTTTTTTCTCTTCAATAAATGAACACCAAAGTAAAAGAAGACCTTCCTTCGACCCTTGTATTCCAGTTATACAGAACAGCCATTTAGCAAGTGTTCACATCCAACTGGAAAAAATCCATAACAAAAGTGACTTTGTTTCTTCTTTATTCTCCAGAAATCATAATTTACATTGTTGTAACAAGGAAAGGAAAACATTCCAGCACACACGCACTGCAGCATCTGCACAAAAATACCTATTGTAGGAGGTAGGGTGTTAATTCTACTTTTTTTGTTTACCATGGTAATAGCTTGTTTGCCCGTCCTAGGAATGAACAAAAACCCTGTTGTACCCACTAGAGAGAGCAGCGGCCACATGGCTGCGGGCACAGCCTCCTTCTCCCCCTGGAAAGGGAGACGAGAAGTCTAGTCCTGTATTTGAAAGGCAACCAACTGGATCTAAAGAATGACCTTCATAAACAAACACATTCACTTGTTTAATGTTGTTCATCAGCAAGATGGTCCCATAAGAAACATCTCATGTGGAAGTTTGGGAGAAATATATCTCCACCTCAGATGTGAGCTCTTATAGCTTAAAATCATAGAATCGTTCAGGTTGGAAAAGACCCTTGGGATCATCAAGTCCAACCATCAACCCTACTCTACAAAGTTCCCCCCTTCACCATATCCCCCAGCACCGCATCTAAATGACTCTTATACATCAACGACATCTTAACCATCAAACAACGCTTACACCATCATGAACAGCCACAAATTCACAGACTCACAGAATGATCTGGGGTTGGAAGAGATCTCTGGAGATCATCCAGTCCAACCCCCTGCCAAAGCAGGGTCACCCAGAGCAGGTCCCACAGGAACGTGTCCAGGGGGGGTTTGGACTGGAGACTTTGGAGACTCCACCACCTCTCTGGGCAGCATCTTCCAGGGCTCTCACACCTTCAAAGTCAAGAAGCTCCTCCTCATGTTTAGATGGAACCTGGAGACTTTGGAGACTCCACCACCTCTCTGGGCAGCATCTTCCAGGGCTCTCACACCTTCAAAGTCAAGAAGCTCCTCCTCATGTTTAGATGGAACTTCTTATGGTGAAGTTTGTGGCCGTTCCGTCTTGTCCTGTCCCTGGGCACCACTGAAAAAAGACTGGCCCCATCCTCCTGACACCCACCCTTTCAGTATTTACAGGCGTTAATCAGATCCCCCCTCAGTCTTCTCTTCTCCAGACTAAATGACCCAAGTCCCTCTGTCTCTCCCCGTACGGGAGATGCTCCAGGCCTTTCCTCATAAGAGAGATGTTCCAGCCCCCTAATCAGCTCCCTTTGAAGTGGGAAGCGTTAAAAAATGTCTTGGAGCAGAACTAATTGCTGCCAGTCAGAAAACATTAAGTCCGTGATACCCCCTTCCCTACAAAGTTCTCATGAAGTATGCAATTTGTAGTCATAACAAATTGTGTTTTGTCATTCCCTTATCAGGATCTAAAGTGGAACAACACGCATAAGAAGCTTTCCTGAGGGAAACGGAGCTGCTGGATGATCCTGGGATGTCTGAAGGTCCATCAGACCGCCTTCCTCCCAAATACCCTTTATTGAGATAGTCTTTCTGGGAGCCTGGGGTGGCAGCGGAGGAGCTGAACACCTTCACCTGCCTCAGAAAGCTGCCAGCTGCTCTTCCCAGTTTTAGGAGGGCAGAGATTCCACCCCCCTCTTTCTCCCTCTCCCAATATCACAGTGGGAACATATTACTCTAATAATTTTCTCCGCAATAAAGGCACACCTCACTGGGTAAAGGTATATTTCAACACAGCAGTTGTTTCCCACATCATCAGTCCACTGTGCATGAGACAGAGGAAAAGTTTAAAAAAAGCGTGATTGGGCTCCACGAAAATCTAACCTCACTTCTCGTTCTTGTCTGCTGATGTGTAACACGGGTTTTAACCACTAAAAAAAGACAGATTTATTTCTTTTCACAGGGGAGAAAGAACACGATACCCAGCTTTTCTGTAAGACTCTTAACAGATCTCTGATACTTCAACGTTTCATGGATCTAAAGCCAGCCATGCCAGATCTGTCCCAGCAGAGGAAGGAAGGGTTTTTTCAATATCCTCACCACCCAGCCTTCTCATCCAAGAGAAATTTCAATGAAAAAAAATAGAATATGAGAATCCATCCTCCGTTGTGTCCTCCTTCATATTTTTTTTCACTCCATGTGAAATTGTGAATTCATTTCTAAACTATTTCAAATAATATGAGAATTCATCCTGCGTTGTGTCCTCCTTCATATTTTTTTTTTCACTCCATGTGAATTGTGAATTCATTTCTAAACTATTTCAAAAGTGATGGAACAAATAAACGACATGAAGAAGATTTATCTGAAAGCTGATGTTTTTCTGTTGGACTTTTTCAGATCAGAACATGAAGCCCAGTTTCAACTTCATCAATGACAAATTTCACTCCTGTATTTAACAGCTGGGCTGCTCTAGGTAAAGTGATTACTCGTTATGTAGATGTGTAGAGATCTGAGTATTGCCAATCACTATTAAAATCTAATATATTAAATAGGAAAACAGGCAAGGTAAGCCAGGTCTATCAATAAAAAATTATCCAAATAAATTCTTTACTATGTTGTCCCACTTATTTATTTAAAAATTTATTGTAAGGGGAAAACACTTTGGGCATTTGGTGGAAGACTTTTGCATTAAGTTTAGGACAAACTGATTCTAAGAAAATGGAGAGGGTGTTAATCTCATGAGACACTAAAGTCTCAGGAGGCAAAACAGAGGGTTTAGGGGGGTTTGTAGGGTTTTTTTCCTCTCTTTGTAATGGAGCAGCCCTTGAAATCCAATGGCAATCTTAACTATTCTCCCAGAAACCAGATGAGTGAAAAAAGATATCTTTCCATTCAAGCAGGATCTTCTTTCTACCGTGTCATCCAATACGTGTAACCGTGTCCCCCTTTATACCTTCCAGATACAGAGAGGAGACATCCCTGCTCTCAGCTGTATCTCACAAACCAACCCAGAGCAGCACGAACAGACAGACAAGAACATGTCTCATTTGAGCCAGCAAGCTGCTAAAAAAAAAAAAAAAAAAAAAAAAAACCACACAAACCTTAGCTTGAAACACTGAACTTTGGACATTCTGATCCTTCCTTTCAAAGTATGTTTATTCATTTATACTTAGCCCGGAAAAATACCTTTCTGGTTATTCACAGCATACCAGAGCAGGTGCCCCATAAAGCCCTCCCTGACCCTCCAGAACTGGCACAGAGCCCTAAGGTGCCTCTCGGTTGACTGCAGGAGGACTGTCAGCGGGAGCCTGAGCCCCACACACCTTCCCAGTGACTCCCAGAAACTCATCAATGGTGATTCTCTAGGAAATGCCTGTCCCCCAACTCCTCAGTGCCACCAGGCTCCCAGCTGGCAACTCAGGGTGCAAGTCCCCTCTGAGGCATCTCTTCCTAATGGCTTGGCTTTGATTTCCTACCTCTGGGAAAAGAGCAAGTTCTCCATTTGGCAGTTTCACCACCATCTGCCTTCTCCCAAGGCAGCACAAAGAACACAACAAAATAAGATCTGTGCAACAGGCTCTGAGGTTAGGATTCCCAGCAAATTCAGAAAAGCACACCCCAAGTGGAAGTGTAAAAATAATATTAGTTGAGTTTAACTACTGGCTGCCTTTCTACCTCCCCCCTTCCTTCTACACCAGCATGTGGGCCAAGGCTGCCAGCCCCCAGTCTGGTCCGGAGCCCACGGTGGGGGACCACACTCATTAGCAAACCCCTCTCTGGTTTCTCCCTTTTCTTTCCAGCCGTGGCATTTATTTGCAAGCTGATGATCTGGTTGTGGGGAAGCAGCTCCCATGGTGTAACGCACGCGTCCTCTCTTCTGATAACAGGCTGCTGCAGCTTGGATTACTCTTGTCTGTGCAGGGCTGGGTGACTCTGATCCCCACCCCTCTCTCGACACCCAACCTCCACACAGAGATGGAAATGCCTTTGCTGACCCTTGTTTGGGCTGCGGTACCCAAAACTGCTATTACTTTATAAGTAAATCAAGTGTGTTGGCCAACTGCCTTCTCCCGCTCTGGACCGGGCAACTCAGTTTCATAATAGAAAGCAATTTATGGCCACACTGGCCTCGGGTCCTCCTCATCCTCGCTGCCCTCCCGAAAACTTTCCACTTCTTCCTTTTTCATAGAATCATAGAATTGTCTAGCCCGGAAGGGACCTCCAAAGGTCTCAGGTGGCTCTGCTCCCTGACCTCGCGAGGGGCCGCTCAGCAGCACCAGAGCTTCCCACCGGTGGGGTGGCTGCGAGGGGACCGTTCAGCAGCACCAGAGCTTCCCACCGGTGGGGAAGGGGAGAAAAGACTCTAAAAGATGGTGAAACTGCTGCCTTGCAGCACTTATTGCAGTTACCAGCAACACATTTTAATTAACCATGAAGTGGTATAAAGGGCAATAATCAAACAAATGCATACACGCTTCCTCTTCGGCCTCTGATCTCTGGTGAGCCACCAGCGCCCACAGAGAATACATGTGACATGTTAATGACCCAGATTAAAAAATAATAATAAGTTACACTGCCCGGATATGTTTACAAGATCAGGTTACTCCTCTCCTCCCTGTAATTATCATGGGCAACTCCAGAGCTGCTGGATCACTCCTTCTTACCGAAAAGCACTTCTGAACTATCATTTTAAGCAAACAAAGTTGATAATAATGGGTATTAATGCTGACGACTTCAAATGAATGGTCTAAGCTCACAGGAACAGAGTCTTCTTAAAAAGACAAAAAGCAATGAGAAACAGTGCACTATAAAAAGCAATCAATGACACCTTGAAGAGGCGGAGAAGGTAATCAAGAAAGTGTTTTACTCCACCTCTATTAATATAAGGAAGTTTGATAATTAGAAATATAGGACCATAATCTCTTCGGTATTTAGACTGGGAAGTGTTTGTTCCCTTAGAGCAACGAACATGAGGCCCTTAATTGATCTGCTTAATTCAAGAAAACAGCCAAGAGCAGAACAACAAACTTTCTAGATAAAAGAGATTGTCTGTTGTGAACCATGATGCAAAATATTTCTATTTTAGGATCATTTTTTGTTTTTTTTAAAAGAAAACAACAACAATGTTCCCTGAAAGGAATGTAAATTAGAAATAAATACTGACTCAGGAACCTCCTTATTGCCTGCTTCTGTTTCAATATACAGACTTCTGCTCTTTATCACATCAGAGCCATTTGGGAACATAAACAGAAATAGGGGTGGGGGTGACAATCACTTCGGACAGTTAAAGACTACTTAGCCATGCCTTTGGGATATTTAATATTCTTGCCTGAAGAGTTTTGCTCTTCCCCAGACTGGAGAACGCACACTGCCCCTGCTAAACCTACAGACTTCACCTCTCACACAAACATCAGCCCTCGCACTTGCTTTACATTTCTAAGGAAAGCAAAATCCACTTCCTCTCCAAGATGCAGAAGAAAGCCAGCCCATAAACACTGCCCCCAAAGGAAGGGCTGCTGCACAACCTTTTGACCTGTGACAAGGCATCCTCTACTATTGTTGACGTGAATAAAGAAGCAACAACAAACATTTTGCCTTTTCCTCACCAGAAAGGAAAGAACTGTTAGAAAGGGCACACATCGCATACTCACAAAGACCAAAATCACAACTTTTAAATCACTGTCTGATCTTCTATAAGCTTGTAAAAACCACGATGCTGACCACGGGAATTAGGATAATTAATAGATACAAGGCCTTTCCTGTAAAAACTGACGTGTAATTACGACATACTGAATCTGAAAGATGTCATGATAAATAAAGCCCTTGGAACACACTAATTAGGATGAATTAAGATGTCATTTTAAAGGTTACATTTATTTTGGCTTTACTTCGATGTAGCAATTCCATAGGACCTTTGTTTGACATCGTGTTACTTCTCAAGGTACTTGAGGTAAGAGGATTCATCTCTCAATCTTCATCAGTCTCATAGTAAGTGTCTAATCTAAGCCATAGCCTAGGACACTCTGTAGGACACTCTCTGTGCATGCAAGGGAAAACAGAGAAGCTAATCTCAACACAAGACTCTTAACCAGTCTCTAATTTGGACAAAGAAAGTATTGAAACAAATAGTTATGGAGTTTTAAACCTCCACTCTTTCATGAGGGTCCTGCACCTGGGTGGGGACAACCACCAGTATCAATCCAGGCTGGGGATGAAGGGATGGAGAGCAGACCTGAGGAGAGGGATTGGGGGTTTTGATGGATGAAAAGCTGGATGCAACTTTTCTGCGCTGGCAGCCCAGAAAGCTAAAGCTAAACAAAGATCCTTAGCCAAACTTCCAACAGAAAACTTATTTTCCACTCCTTCAGGCTGCGTGTAATTGTAGAGACTGGCAAAGAGTAGGCCTGCAGGTAACACAGTCTTTGTAAAGTTTTTCTCTGTTCGTTTGTGAGACACTTACCTTGCCTTTCTGATTCAAAGGTTCAATAGTTAAGTTGTCAGGGCCAATGTCCACAATCATCCCCATCTGAAACCCATCAGTTGGGTGTGGAGCCCAAACGGGCTTCCCGTCCTCCATTGTGGGATCTAGCCAGTATTTCCTGTAAGAAAAAAAAAAATACAGATAAAAAAAATTGTATACAAACATAGTAAGCTATCAGGATTCACCACTGAGACTTTAGTTTACTGTGTTTATTCATATTATTCCCTGTGGAAGTCGCCGGCCTGTCAGGACAAGGTTCTTCCAGCCTTTGCTTCCAGAGGACACCCTCAGGCTTGAGTGTGGAGAAGATTCAAGACCAGATCCATTTGGGGGCGGGGGGTGCTCCACAGACTGCTCCCTGCAGCTTTTCCCCCCATTTCCCTCACTTGTGAACCAAAAAGTGGGTTTATCTCACGATCAAAACAGAAATACAAGACAGATTTGAAGCTAAGACTCTACTAGGAATGTGTACACACTTGTATCTGTAGGTAGATGTATAGGCTCCAGTATATATTTACATGCATGTGGTGTGCCCTATGGCTAAAGGATACCCGTCTGCACCTGATTTGGTGTGCAAACACTTGAATTTGGGTAATGGGAACATGTCGAGGCTCGTGAGCAGAAATCCAGGTCTTTGCCATTGAGAGGAATGAGGGTGAATTTATCGTACAAAGACTGACCCCTCACACCACACACCACACACACACCCTCACACCACAATGTCACAACCCGGCCTCTGAAGGAAACCCCAACCTGACTTCCTACAAAAATACGATGTGAAAATTACATCAGAGGAATCTTTGATGAACAAGTGAAATAGATGCAAAGGCCGAGACGTTCAAACCTTCGGCGCCTCGAGTGAGGCAGCTAAATAAGCTCCCAATTAAAAAGGGGTATTTGATTGCATGCAACGCTCATTGAACTACCCAGGAAAGCTGCCAGGATTGGCACACTCTAAATGGCTAATGGTGCCATTTCAAATATGCTGAATTAGTTGTCAAAAAAAAGAAAAAACAACCAAAAACCAACCCTACTTTATAATCCTTACCCTAATAAGAATAAGGAGTCCCCATGGCTTGAAAGGCTCACCTCTCCTGGCTCTTTCTTACTCCCCTCCAGAACTCATTCACACACTAAACTGACAGGTTTTAGTGATTCCAAAATTTGTAAAGAAGTATCTCATCTCACCAAGGTGTAAGATGCCTCTCTGTGTATGGCCAAAATGAGCCTGCCAAGTGGCCAAGAACACACTGGCAGCAAACTCCAAGGGTCTATAAGCCAGGAATCACATCCCACATTTTTCTTTCCCCACATCTGAAGGAAAAGGAGGTCCAACATTTCTCACAAGCAAGGAGGGCTGCAGGCACATTTGCCACGGGCAGTAAAAAGGTTCATGGGCCCACCAGAAAGTGGTAGCACCATCAGCAGGAGAGGACACCCTTGTCCCAGGACATGCTGCCCATCGACCTGCTTTTTGTTGCCTCCAAGGACTTTAGAAAGGTTTGAGGAGAAGGAAAAGGCTGGCTGTAACCGCGCTGGGAACGCAGCTGGTCTTGGCATATCCCTTGTGGAGCACTGTGACCGCAGCTGGTCTTGGCATATCCCTTGTGGAGGAATAAGACAATTTGTTGTTAACTTTGATGTGAAATGATAAAAGATAAAAGGTAATTCTAAAGCAGAGATTCAGAACGCAAAGTCAAATATTTTTTAAACAAAGTAACGTTCTGAAGAGACTTTGAAAAACTGCTTATAGATTCCCTAACTTAGTGTTGATGTCTGCTTTTGTGGTTAAATTTACTCAAACAGATTTTTTCCCACCCCAAAATCAGTTCAGGATGTAAGAAGCTCATGAAGATTTCAACAAATGTTTCTAGTATACTCTACTCACGCAATTCATGCTATTTAAAACATGATATTTAATACAGGAAAACTTGTGGTTTGTTTTTCCCTCATGAACAGAGTGTATTAACTTCTTTTAACCAACCATAGAAAGTTTACGTTCTAAAACCTTGAGTGTCACATTCACTTCTATTTACTTCAAACCTTTCCATCCCAGGAACTCTATGAAACACCATCATCTTCCTCATCACGTGTTGCCAGCGTTCTACAATAAATCCTGTAAAACAACCTCTGTTCTCACTCACAATTGCCCGTTGGCCGTTTTTGCTTTACTTCAGGACATGTAAATCAGACCTAGTATAAATCACAGTTTTATGGGGGTTTTTTTTGGTGTGCTGTTTTAGCCAGATGTGACCTCTGAGCACAACTGCCACTGCGGGCGCAGTTGCTAAACAGCTGAATTTATTTCTGGACCTACCCAGGCCTTCATTTCTTCCCAAACCTACCATTTGCTTTCAAAATGCTAGTTCAAATTAGTACTTAGCTGCTGTGTCCCACAACCACTGAAAACAAGGCTCTCTCTTCCACCCCGAGTAGCACAGCCAGGGCTCCGGACGTTAACTATGTCGCACAAGAAACAAACCCTGAAATTACTGTCAAGATTTCTGCCAAAAGTTAGAATCCGACCTCCCCAATTAGCACCCGGATTCCCCTGCTCTGCTCCCTCACACAGCCTTTTTTCTTTCTTGCTTATTCCTAAGCCTACTTCATGCTTTGTTAATAAATTGCAACAGGGGAGCGTCACGAGCTAAAAAAATCCTCTTGGAGGACAGAGCAGTGACTGAATTCAGCCACCACCAGGAAATGAACGTTTAAAGAAAAATTCCTGAGGCTTTGCAAGCGTCTTAGAAGCCATTGGGTAAAAGCACCTAAATACGAGCGTGGTTCACAGGACAAGCCCTTTTAATAAATACTGCTTTCTGCCCCAGAAGTGACACAAAGGCAGTTGTAATACTTTTTGGGTTTGGCACCACTCCCTCTCTGCCAGCTGGGACTCTGAGAGGCAGCACGTTAAAATGGGATACCCAAACCTCTCAGTTTCTACCTGTTATCTACCCCTCCAGCTGATGGACAGGCCATGAACAGATGCATGAAACCCATTCCCAAATCATCCCTTGACTAGCTGGTTTCCAATCCAGGATATGAAGGAAAGGGAAGCAAAAAATTTTCAAGTTCAACTACCTGATGTAAGTCCTTTAGAAAAAGAGCGCTTCCTTCAGCATGAAAATACGCTTTACTGATTAAAACATACACACCACAGAGTATAAACTGGGGAAAATACAGATTTGGATGGAGAACCTTCAAAAACCAGCCCCAGCCTGGTTACAGACCATTCATTAATAGTCTCAGTGGGAACAAATTTTTTTGCATCCACCCAAATCTAATCTACAGGCAGCCACCTTCACTATGCCATTGAAAAAAGTACACTGTTTCTGGAAACTGTGAAAGCAAAAAGACCCACATCCAGGCTAAAAGCACCAATCTGAGAGAAGTATCACCAAACACACAGAGTCACTTCAACGATGCTTCCCAACAAAGAAGGCCCAAACGAACTGTCTTCCACACTTGGGTTTGTACGTATGTACTCAACATGTATTAAAGATTAAAGCAGTTGGTTGGAAGTTGTTTGGTCATTTTGGTCTCCACCATTAAGACTTTTTCCAGCACAACTGAGAGAATTCACAAAGGTTGTGCTTATAACTGAGAAGTCAGTCACCTTTTTCTCCTTCTGTAGTTGAAAAACGAGACCAGGAGCCCCATACTGGAGTTTGTCTCTGGGCTGAGCAGGAGAGGGACAGCAATAAAACAAGCCTTCATCTAAAGCTGGTAAACTTAATAGCTATGCCTTCAAATGTCAGATTTTATATTTTCATAATTGGCAAGCGGTAATAGACCTTGCCTTAATTATCAGTGATAGGATTCAACACATTCAGTGCTGGCAGAACCAAGCAGTTCAGACAACCCCCAAGGCAAAACTACACCGTGCTCCCCAGATTACAACAGCAAGAAAAACACCCACCGGCTCTTCTTTAACTTCTTCTGCACTATTATTCCCTCTTTTGGAGAATCTTTAATAACATCATTTTTCACAGAAATTATCTACATGACACACTGAGCACATGAACCAAGGCAGAATTCCTCAGCTGAAAGCCGGCACATTATCATCCCCCCTTGTGTTTACTTAAATATTAGTGATTTTAAAAGAATGTAATACAACCACATTTTGACTTTGTGAAGTACTCAAAAGGAAATCAAACACTACAACTTGGTGAAAGAATTCCAGGAAGGCAAAATACAGTAAAACCATTTTAAACCTGTTGCCAGAGCCCAGAGGGAGGAATTTGCATGATCCCATCCTATTTACTGTCCTATGAATGGTTTGCTGCTCCAAGGCACTGCACCGATTGCTGAATTCACTAATTAAAAGAAGTGAAAAATTTAACTTAATGAAACAACAATAATGTCTCATTGGGTTGACTAAATCCAAGGGAAATAGAATAGGTATAGTATCAAATTATTACAGTAAAATTACTTGTTATTTTATATTTAAAAAAATACTACTTGTGTGTTTAAGAGATGCTCAGAATTCCACAGGGTACGTGAGAACGCTCTGGGAAAGGTCCTGTGAACACCCAGGACAGGCCAGAGGGAGGAAAACACCAATAGACAGTGGTAGCTCACTGTCATTCAAGTCATTTTTTCAACTCTAGATCATTGTTTAACTGAAAATTGAAAAAAAGAAATCAAAGCTCAGGCAGCATCCAGCACTCTGATGGGGGTGACATAATATTTGAAAGGAACTGTAGATATAGTACAGAGATTTTTATATCTATTTTTGGAGCCAAATGCAATACAGTCACATCAGCATTGTTTAACTGAATATTGAATCCAATCAATTTTTATTTCTTATTTACTTTTCCAATTTACTGTACAACTTCTCTGCACTGACCCCCCCCCAGTTTAGCCACCCCAAACTGCAGGGTTTTCATACCTACTTCAGAGCACATCGGCAGGCAACTGTGTCCCGTGGACTTCTGCCAGCCCAGAAAAGAAGGAAAACGGGCTGGGATGCAGCACAGCACAAACTTATCTTCAGAAACGATTTGCTTTGAAAATGGTAATGCTGACTTGTTAATTGCCAACACATTTTGTAGATGTGTGGAAGTAAAAGGGAGAGTAACAGTTCACACAGCTGAGAAATACCAGATGAAAACTTCT